ATGTATTTTCTTCTTATTTTTCAAGTGTACTTTTCACACTTTTATATACAAACTAATTACAACTAAAAGCCCATACAAATTTGTTACAACTAAAAGCCCATACAAATTTGTTACAACTAACCCAACTGAAAGCCCAACTGAATATACAACTAACCCAACTGAATGTAACTGTTACAACTAAAAGCCCAACTGAATGTAACTGTACCCAACATTGTAACAGAATACAGTTAACAATTTTGGTCAACTTTAGTCAACATTGCTTTGTTTCTTATACTCACATCCTGCCGTAAATCAAACTTCCTTAAACCTCTCAGTCTGCTATTTCTTTCACATTCTAACATCCACCTGTAAATCAAACTTCCTTGAACCTCTCAGTCTGCTATTTCTTTCACATTCTAACATCCACCTGTAAATCAAACTTCCTTGAACCTCTCAGTCTGCTATAATTGCTTTGCACAACCCATTTACTTAATGACTTTGGAGGCATATAACAAGACTGCAGAGTAAATGATTAGCAAATAACAACTTCATTCTGATTAACTGCAGTGCTGCTCAATCACAATTCTGAGAACTTTCACAATAATTCCATAATTGCTTTGCACAACCTAGTTACTCACATAAGCTCTCCATACATTAGGCAGATACATGACAAACAACTTCACAATAATACACTGCAAAAACTTACAACTTCACAGTTTTGACTCCACACTTCAACTTCAACTTCACAGTTTCTTTANTAACTGAATACTTTTATGTATTTTCTTCTTATTCTTTTTAAGTCTACTGTTCCACTTTTATATACAAACTAATTACAACTAAAAGCCCATACAAATTTGTTACAACTAAAAGCCCAACTAATTACAACTGAAAGCCCATACAAATTTGTTACAACTAAAAGCCCAACTAACCCAACTGAATGTAACTGTACCCAACACTGTAACAGAATATAGTTAACAATATTGGTCAACTTTAGTCAACATTGTTTTGTTTCTTATATTCACATCCTGCCGTAAATCAAACTTCCTTGAATCTCTAGTCTGCTATTTCTTTCACATTCTAACATCCACCTGTAAATCAAACTTCCATGATCTGCTATTTCTTTCACATTCTAACATCCACTTGTAAATCAAACTTCCATAATTGCTTTGCATAACTGCAGAACAAACGATTTTGGAAGCATATAACAAGACTGCAGTGTAAATGATTAGCAAATAACAACTTCATTCAGATTAACTGCATTGCTGCTCAATCACAATTCTGAGAACTTTCACAATAATTCCATAATTGCTTTGCACAACCCAGTTACTCAACATAAGCTCTCCATACATTAGGCAGATACATGGCAGATAACTTCACAATAATTCATTGCAAAAACTTACAACTTCACAGTTTCTCAGTTTTGACTCCACACTTCAACTTCAACTTCACAGTTTATCTACTCAATAACTACCAACAAAATAACTCCACTACAGAAACTACAACTTCACAATAAATTCTACTACAAAATTCACAACCAGTTTCTCTATAACCTACAACTACACAGCAATAAAACTATATTCTGCAAAACTTAAAACTTCACAGTTTTAACTCCACACTTCAACTTCACAATTTCTCTACTCAATAGCTACCAACAAAATAACTCCACTGCAGAAACTACAACTTCATAATAAATTCTACTGCAAAATTCACAACCAGTTTCTCTGTAACCTACAACTACACAGCAATAAAACTATATTCTGCAAAACTTACAACTTCACAATTTTGACTCCACACTTCAACTTCACAGTTTCTCTACTCAATAACTACCAACAAAATAACTCCACTGCAGAAACTACAACTTCACAATAAATTCTACTGCAAAATTCACAACCAGTTTCTCTGTAACCTACAACTACACAGCAATAAAACTATATTCTGCAAAACTTGCAACTTCACAGTTTTGACTCCACACTTCAACTTCACAGTTTCTCTACTCAATAACTACCAACACTATAACTCCACTTTAGAAACTACAACTTCACAATAAATTCTACTGCAAAAGCAAAGTTCACAGCCAGTTTCTCTGTAACTGATAACTACACAGCTTCCACTACAGAACTACACAACTTCCTCCACAGAATTACAACTGAGTACCAGATGTTGAGTCAATCAAGCTAAAGGAAGGTGGAGCTTGTATTGTCAGTTTCTGTCTCAGATTTTCAAACCTGGAGGCAGGCAGAGCCTTTGTAAAGATATCTGCTTTTTGATATTCAGTGGGCACATATTGAACTTTAAGATTGTGAGAGGTAACTTGTTCTCTAACATAGTGTGCATCAAGTTCAATGTGTTTAGTTCTTCCATGAAACACTTGGTTAGAAGCAAGAGACCCAGCACTTTGGTTATCACACCAAATAATTGGAATTTCTGACAAAGAAAGACCAAGTTCAGAAAATAAACTACAAAACCAGGCCAATTTAGTAGACCCTTGAGCAAGTGCTCTATATTCAGCTTCAGTGGAAGATAGGGCCACAACTTTCTGCTTTTTTAGAAGTCCATTGCAGTAGGTTAGTGCCAAGAAAAACACAGCAACCACTTGTGGACCTCCTGTCCTCAATGCTACTGGCACAATCAGCATCGGTATAGCATTCTAGGTTGATTCTAGGGCTTTTAGTAAAGAGAATTCCATAGTTGGAAGTGCCTTTAAGATACCTAAGTAATCTCTTACAAGCTTGCCAATGATTTTGTGTAGAAGCCTTAAGGAATTGGCTTAATTTGTTAACACAGTAAGCAATATCAGGCCTGGATAATGTCAAGTACTGAAGGGCTCCTATTGTACTTCTATATAGAGCTGCATTTTCATAAGGATCACTGTCTTCTAAAGTTAACTTTGTGCCAATGTCTATTGGAGTGGTACAAGGTTTGCAATCCTACATATTAGTCTTTGTTAAGAGATCCTTGACATATTTTTCTTGATTCATGTGAAGATAGGAAGCTGTTCTAGTAACCTCAAAACCAAGAAAATACTTGAGAGAGCCTAGAACCTTTAAAGCAAACTGAGTATTTAGTTTATGTATGGTTTCATGCAGCAAATTGGTGTCATTTCCAGTCAGTAGAATGTCGTCTACATACACAAGCACATACATAGTCTTTTCCAATTTTCTATACACAAACAGACTTGGATCAGCAACTGAGTGAACAAAATCCCAACTTAAAAATGCCTTTTTCAGCTTCGCAAACTAGGCTCTAGGAGCCTGTTTTGGACCATAAAGAGCCTTAACTAATTTGCACACATGATGAGGATGTTGAGAACTAACAAAGCCTTCAGGTTGGGTCATATATACCTTTTCAGTAAGTTCACCATTTAGGAAGGCATTGTTGATGTCCACCTGCTGAATTTCCCAACCATTATTCACTGCTAAGCTCAAAATAACTCTGATTGTGGGTGACTTAACTACGGGACTGAATGTTTCTAGATAATCAATTCCTGGATTTTGTTGAAAACCTTTTGCCACAAGCCTAGCCTTGAACCTTTGAATGGAACCATCAGGATTATACTTTATCTGAAAAACCCATTTACAGCCTACAGGATGCATTTCAGAGGTAGTAGGAACTAATTCCCAAGTTTCGTTAGCTAGCAAGGCATCAAATTCTGATTGCATGGCAGCTTTCCAGGCAGGATGTGATAGAGCTTCTATAACAGTAGTTGGTTCTTTATTGTCAAGAGAAGATGGGGAAACAAGGATGGTATTATGTGCTTTGGTTTTGGACCTAGTAACCATGGGATGAGTGTTCAAGACAGGAGGTGGAGGCTTGGTTAAAGGCAGTTCAACAGTAAGAAGGATAGTTGCATAAGACTTATCTGATCCTACAGTTATGGGGGATAAAATAGGTGATGTGGATAAAGTAGAGTTAAGAGAAGTAGAGGACTGATTAAGGTTAGTGGTTGGACTAAACTGTGAAGATGTTGAAGGCTGAGGTAGATGAGATTGAGAAGAACAGGGAGATGATAAAGGAAGTGAACTAGAAAAGGCAACATCCTGTGAGATTGACTGTTCTGGTGTGGAAGGACAAGCAGACAAAGGTGAAACTGAAACAAGATTAGTAGATACACTAGAGACAGAACCATGTATAGACCAAACTGAAGGAACAAATAAACTAGAAACAGACTCAATGCTTGTGGAATGGGGTGCAGAATTTGAACTAGAAAAATTAGATGTTTTAAAAGGAAAATCAGATTCATCAAACTGAACACTTTGACAAATATAAATCCGACCAGAAATATCCAAACACTTGTATCCCTTATGATGCAAACTATAGCCAATAAAGGTACATTTGGTGGTGTGAAAGTTAAACTTGTGGCTGTTGTATGGACGAAGGAAAGGATAGATAGCACATCCAAAGACTTTAATGTGAGAATAATTTGGAGAAGTTTTGAATAGAACTTGGAAAGGAGATATATTGGACAGCACTGGTGTGGGTAGTCTATTGGTGAGGTAAGCTGCAGTTTGAAAAGCAAACCACCAAAACTTAAGTGGCATACTAGCTTGAGCTAACAAAGTCAGGCCTTGTTCCACAATTTGCCTATGTTTCCTCTCAACTCTACCATTTTGTTGGTGAGTGTGAGGGCATGGATGTCTAAAAATGATGCCATGTTCTTGTAGGTAAGGGACTAGCTTCCTATACTCACCACCCCAATCGGTTTGAACACATTTTAAAGATGTATTAAATTGCTTTTCAACTAAGACATGAAACTGTTTAAAAATACTAAAAGTTTCAGATTTGGCTTTTAAAGGAAAAAGCCAGGTGAATCTACTATGGTCATCAATAAATTGAATGTAATACCTATAGCCTTCGGGAGATGTAACAGGGGAAGGGCCCCAAAGGTCCGAGTGAATACCAAATTGGCAGGCTGAGCAGAATGTTATATTATTCTTAGTAGAATAAGGTAGTTTCAAAACATCAAGCACTTTTGCAAGAATAGTAGAATTGGGATGTCCTAATCGGTTGTGCCACAACACGACATTAGTAGACTGAACAGGGAATGATTGAAGAGAATTTATTTTATTGATTATAGATGCATCATCAGTACAGATAACAGTATTGGATACAAGTGGTCTATTGTATTGCATACAATTTTGATTAACAAAATCATCACAGGCAGATTTACAACTACTAAAAACATGTTCTGGCATCAATTGTGTAGACAACATTTGTGTAGGAAAAGAAGTGCTACAAGGCTTATTACATGACTTATTTAAAATTGGGCTACTTTTGTGCTGAAACTGAACAGACTGATCCAAAACTTCTGCAAGGATAGGTAATGAATAAACTGGAGCTTGAAGTTGGTATAATCCATCTTTAAGCATTCCTTTGAGAAGGGTTACTTTGGAGTGCTTGTCCTTAACCACACAAGAATCAATAAAAAACTCAACAGTGATAGGATTATCTTTAGTCAGTTTAGAGACACTAAGAAGATTTTGTATAATGTGAGGAACACACAAGACATTCCTAAGGTGCAGAGTTCTAAATGGACAATTTAAATCAACAGAACCAATATGGGAAATAGAGAGAAGCTCACCATTGCCAACCTGGAGTTGTTCACTGCCTTCATAGCTGGTGCTTCCTGTGAGTTGAGAAAAGTCAGAGGTAACATGGTCTGTGGCTCCAGAATCCATGTACCATGCAGCATCATGTACTGTAGAGGGTGTGGCAATGTAATTTATGGCTACAGGATGAGAATTGTGTAGTTGAGTTTGAGCCATCAAAGCCTGATTGTGCAGATGAGCAGTAGCATGAACAGCAGCTGAGTTTGGCTGGTTATCAACATGTACAATTGTGGATCCAGGTGGTTGGTGGAATGAGGAAGGTGTTTGAGACATCACTGAGGATCTGGAGTGGGGATTATTCACATAGTGATGAGAACTATGACTATCAACTAGATAGTAAGAGTTTCCAATTCCAGGATTATCAATTCCAGAATTCCCAATTCTAGAGTTAAATGAGGGTTGTCTATTGAAGCCAGGAGATTGAAAGTTGCTTCTAGTTGAGGTGTCATTTCCTGTAAAGCTTACATCAAACCGGTGGTAACAATTCAAGGCTAAATGCCCTGTTTTCCCACAGACTTGGCAGACAAATTTGCCTCTGCCACCCCCTCTGCCTCTTCCTCTATTACTGAAACCACCTCCATGAAATTGCTGATTGTAAAATTGGTTTTGAGGCAGTGGATAATTGGACTAAGTTTGGTTAGATCCAAAGAAGGAAGGACTAAAATTGGGAACATTAAAGGTGCTAGGGCTAGGGCTATGAGTGGAGGTTTGTTGTATAGGTATTGACACAGGCTATGTTTTCTTGTTCTCATTGTCAACTGACAGAGCAGCGACANGTGTGGGATCTTTATTGCATGTCATTTTCTCTACCCAAAGGAGAGTTAATGGTGATGCATATAGTATCTCTATGTGAAATAGCTTATAAGGTTTAAAGCCATTTTTGATTATTTATTGCCTATGATACTGATATATTGTATTGTTTTATTTCAAACAATCTCTATTAATATGAAAAATAATAATGCAACCATTGAGGTCCTGACTGGTAGTAACTATAAAAGATGGAAGCAAGATAGATTTTGCATTGGGGATTGCTGATATCGATATGGCTCTGCGAGAGAATGAACCCACCTATGTCTACTATGGAGAGTAGTGCTGTAGAAAAGGATTTATATGCTAGAGGGGAGAAGTCAAACAGGCTTAGTCTAATTGCAATGAAGAGAACCATAGCTAATTATCTGATGAGTGGTTTACTTTAGACCACTAATGCTAGGATGTTTCTCACCGCTATTAGTCAGAGGTTTTAGGTTTCTAATCATGTTGAAGCTAGCAACTTGATGAGTGCATTAACTGAAGCTAGATATGACTGTTCCAAAGGAGTGAGAGAGTTCATTCTGAGAATTGTAGATATTCAGTCAAAGCTTAGAAACCATGAGATCCCAATCAATGATAACTTCGTTGTTAATCATACCCTGAACTCTTTGCTCACAGATTTAGTCAAATCAAGACAACTTATATTGCTCAAAGTCAGACTTGGAGTATTAATGATTTGATTACCAAGTGTGTGGTTGAAGAGGAAAAGCTGAAGAAGGAAAGATCTGAAATTGCTAATCTAGTTGCACAGTCTAAAACCCACAGTAAGGGAACATGGAAGAATAAGAAGTTTAGATCTCATGGTCGGAAAAATGGTTAGAGTTTTATGAAACAGGATTCTGATCAGCCTCAGAAGAAAGCAAATATGAAGGACAAGTGTTATTTATGCAAGAAGAAGGTTCACATGAAGGTTGACTATCTTAAGTACAAGGGCTGATTAGAGAAGAAGAATAAAGAACAAGGTAAGGCACTTGCTCTTGTTTAATTTGAATCAAATTTAGTTGATATTCCAAAAGATAGTTGGTGGATTGATAGTAGTGCAACTCTTCATGTGACAACAACATTATAGGGGTAATCAAAAGGCGTGATCCAACTGAGAGGGAGTCCAAATTAAAAGTGGGGAATGATGCTGATGTTGAAGTATGCTGTGTAGGCACAATGAAGCTGATTTTAGACTCTGGATAAGTTTTGTATTTGGAGAATACTTTTTAGGTTCCCTTTTTTAAAAGAAATTTAATTTCTGTTTCTTTACTTAATAAAACTGGTTATAGACTTGTTTTTGGTAATGGAAAAGTTGATTTGAGTTTTAATTTTGAGGTTATTGGATCTTGTGTATTATTGGATGACTTATATAGAATGTGTTTGATCCTAATCAATTTTATTATTCCTTTAATGTTGAGAGTGTTGGAGTTAAAAGATCTTTGATTAAAGAAAGATCTTTATTGTTATGGCATAAAGGGTTGGGACATATTTCTAGAGAAAGAGTTAACAGGCTGATAAAAGAAGAGATTCTTCCGCCTCTAGATTATGAAGATCTTGGAATTTGTGTTGACTGTATCAGAGGTAAGTTGACCAAGTCTAAGAAGAAAGGTTCAACTCGGAGTCAATGTCTTCTCGAGATCATCCACACAAATATTAGTGGACCCTACTCGTCCACCTTATGTGGTAGTAGATACTTCATTACCTTCATTGATGATTTTTCACGATATGGTTATGTTTTTCTAATTAAGGAGAAGTCTGATGCTCTTGAAAAATTCAAAATTTTCAAGACTGAAGTAGAAAAGAAAACGGGAAAAGTCATCAATGTGGTTAGTTCTGATTGAGGTGGGGAGTATTATGGCAAATATGGTGAGACAGGACAGCAGATAAGGTCTTTTGCTAAGTTTTTACAAGATTGTGGTATTGTTCCTCAATACACAATGTCAGGGACTCGTAAGCAGAATGGTGTAGCTGAGAGACGTAATCGTACTTTTAAAGATATGATGAGGAGTATGATGAGTAGATCAAATTTGCCTAAGTTTTTATGGGGTGAAGCAATTAAGATTGCACTATACATCTTAAATAGGGTTCCTAGTAAATTTGTGCCAAAGACTCCATTTGAACGCTGGACAAGAAGAAAGCCCAACATGAGACACTTTCGAGTTTGGGTTGCCCAACTGAAGTGAGGATTTATAATCCCACTAAGAAAAAGTAGGATCCTAGGACCATTCGAGCTTATTTCATTGGTTATCTTGAGCATTCTAAAGGATACATGTTTTATTGCTCTTCTCGGGGTACTAGGGTGGTTGAATCTATGACTGCCAAGTTCTTGGAACTTGATGTAGATGAGGGTAGCAGTACTCAACCCTTGGAGAATTGTGAAGTAGGCTCATCAAGTACTGTTCCCTCATCTGTTGGGCATGATGGTATGTTTTCAGAACTTGTTTTAGTGGAGAATCAATAGGTTCTAAAGATTCTTATAGAACATGAGACTGTGTAGAATGAAGTTGATGCCAAAGAACCTATTGTAGATCCCGTTGTAGAGGAATTACTTATGATAGATAATATTGTTGATGAACCAGTTATTGAGATTCCTCTTAGGAGATCAACTAGAGAAAGACGTTATACTATTTCTGATGATTATTATGTCTATCTTTGTAAGGAAAAATATGACATTGGTCAAGTTATTGATCCAACAAGCTATAATGAAGCTATCTCAGGTTAGCAATCCAATAAATGGTTTGTTACAATGAGAGAAGAAATGAAGTCAATGGCAGACAATGAAATATGGGATCTTGTGAAGTTGCCAGATGGTTTTAAGCCCATAGGTTGTAAATGGGTTTACAAGACAAAGAGAGACTCCAAGGGAAGAATTGATAGGTTCAAGGCTAGATTGGTTGCTAAAAGTTTCACTCAGAGAGAGGGTATAGATTTCAATGAGACATTCTCTTTGGTGTCTACTAAAGATTCATTTAGAATTATAATGGCCGTAATAGCTCACTTTGATTTGGAGCTACATCAAATGGATGTCAAAACAACCTTTCTAAATGGAAATCCTTATGAGGAAGTTTACATGATGCAGCCAGATGGTTTTGTAGCCGAAGATAAACAACACATGGTATGCAAGTTGAAGAAGTCAATCTATGGTTTAAAGTAGGCTTCTAGGCATTGGTATCTCAAGTTTGATGAAGTTGTGACTTCATATGGTTTCACTGAGAATAAGTTTGATCAATGTGTGTTCATGACGATCAATCGGAGTAAGTTTGTATTTCTGGTTCTTTATGTCGATGACATCTTACTAGCTAGAAATGATGTTAATCAATTGCACGAGATAAAACAGATCTTGTCTAAAGGTTTTAACATAAAAGATCTTAGAGATGCTTATTTTGTTCTTGGTATTGAGATTTTCCATGACAGAACTCATGGGTTGCTTAGGTTATCTCAAAAGGCTTACATTGAGCGTGTGTTAAAGAGATTCAACATGCAAAATTGCAAACTTGAAGATGTACCTGTGGTGAAAGGAGACAAGTTTAGCATCAAGCAATGTTCTCAAAGTGATTTGGAAAGGGCATCTATGCAGAATATTCCTTATGCTAGTGCCATTAAGAGCTTGATGTATGAACAAGTACGCACGAGATTAGGCATAGCTTTTGCTGTAAATGTCCTTGGTCGTTATCTTTCGAATCCAGGTTCTGATCATTGGGTTACGGCGAAGAAAGTTATGAGATACTTGCAAAGGACGAAAGGCTTAATGCTTGTATACTGATAAGTTGCATAAATTTAGTGTTTTTAGGTTTGTTTTTATAGTTGTTTAGTTAATTTCTCATTTGTTTTCTTTGTTTTGATGTTAGTTTTTGTTAAGTTTGTAATGTGAATAGTCAGCTATTGATTTGGAGAATTTTTATGATTTTCAAGCTTTAATTGAGTAGATTGGAGCATTTGAAAGAAATTGAGATTAGTGGACAATTTTGAAGGCCATGGCCATGCCTTGGTAGTTCACCACAGCCATGGTGGTGGAATGAGGATAAAATATCAAGGACTAGCTAGGCCATGGGGATGTAAATTTGGACACGGCCAGGGCCGTGTCAGACACTTTTAGGGTTTTTTTTTTTTTTTTAAGTTTTTCTTTTCTTGTTTGCTTAGGACTCTTTTGGGTATTTAAGTGTGGTTAAGATTACTTGTTAGAGGGCCGAATTTTGCCTATTTTTGGAGAGAGATTATTGTGTAACAAAAGAAAAAGGAGAATCAAGAACGAAATTCATCACAGAGTTTGTCTTTACTTTTTCAATATGATTTATTTCTTGAATTCTGCTCTTATTTCTTTTATTATGAACTAATTTTCTCAGGCTAAGACTAGGGCTAGTCTATTTTTGGATTTGTGATCAATCTTTTGTTCAATGGTTACTAATTTATTTTTCTAATGATGAGCTTATATTATGTGCTTAATGCTATTAGGAACCTGATCAATTTCTGATAGAATTGTTTTGTGTACTGATTGAGACTGAGATG